CGGTTACTGACAGTAGGGGTTGAGTCGATAATGGCGATGAATTCGTTGAAAGGCACCTACTCCCTCACGTCCAGCGCGCATTTCTCCATGATCGATTCCAGTGTACCTCATCTATGGCTTCCAACAGACATCTGCGACAACTTCGAGCAAGCTTTTGGACTCACATACGACAACACAACAGATCTCTACCTGGTTAACGACACTATTCACGAACAACTCAAATCGAAGAACCCCTCAATAACCATCAAGCTCGTAAACTCGCTCCAAGACACCTCAGTAAACTACACAAACATCGTCCTCCCATACGCCGCATTCGACCTACAAGCATCATACCCCTACTACCCAAACGCGACGAACTACTTCCCCATCCGACGCGCCGCAAACGACTCACAATACGTCCTCGGCCGCACCCTCCTCCAAGAAGCCTACCTAATCGTAGACTACGAACGCGCAAACTTCTCCATCGCACAAGCCGCCTTCCCCGACCCGCTCCCCGCCGCCAACATAATAACCATACAACCCTTATCCACCCCAAAATCCGCATCCTCAAAGCCACCACTAAGCACAGGCGCAATAGCCGGCATCGCAGCCGGCGGCGCCATCCTCATCATCCTCCTAACTGGCGCCATAATACTCTTCCTCCTCCGCCGGCGGCGAAAACCCATACGCGAAAAATCCAGATACGAGCTCTCCAACACGCAGATCTCAGAGACCGGATACGAGACGACGCACGCGCAAAAGACGGAGCGCCAGCCGCAAGAGCTAGGCGGGACGGCGTTGGCGGAACTCGCGTCGCCGCGGCACGACGAACACAAGCCGTTTCTCTCGCCCACGAATGTACCGCAGGAGATGCCGAACACGCCTATGGCGCCGCGGTGGGAGGAAGTCACGGCGGCGAGTTATTACGAGATGGATGCGAGTGCGCCGGCTAGCCAGGTGGGTAGTCGGGCGCCGAGCGATGATGGGAGGGGGACGGTGGGGATAAGTCCGCTGGCGCGGACGACGGGGTATCGAGATCGTTAGTGAAGCGTTTGAGCGTGTTGTTTGGCTTTGTATATGCGTGGTCATGCCACACTTCATGTAGAAAGTTGAGCGCGAGCTACCTGTGTAATTGGTATGAAGACATAGTGATGAATGCACAACGGTCAATCGGGGCCGGAAATGGCCTATCTTCGCTTCTCTTCCATCTTCTGGCCCTCAACGGCCACTCCCACCACTACCATGGCTGCTCCCGCATGGGACAGTGTCTCAATGGTTTCCGGCCTGCATGCGACTTCGATAGAACACGTACATACTGCTTGACAGACAGCGCGAAGCTGTTCAAGACCGCATATGCGTGCTCGTAGATCCGAGCCAGCGAAGGGGCCTCCGGGGTCGTGCCCGAAGAGGCTTGGGCGTGCTTGAGTCTCGGCGTGTTGGATTTGATGAAAGTTTCTGTCCCACACTCGGAGGACCAGGTCTGAGCATACGAGCATAGGTCAGAAACGTAAAGCAAATCCAATTCGTAGAGGCTCGAGCACGCCCTTTCCTTTTCACAGAATGCCCCGGAGGCCGCTTCGTCAGGGTTCTATAAGTTGGCATATTAGTTAATTGGGCGTTAACTGTTCTTTCAAGGGGATGGAGTGAAGATGAATGTTACCATCAATAAAGGGTGCTGGTCGATTCCGAGGTGCTCGACTGCACGGACGACTGCGTCGTCGCCACCATCCAGGTAAACAGCTCCAAACAGCGCCTCCAGAGTAGTGGCGACCATCTTGTCAGTAACTAGTCCGCGATTGCCGTCAGATGCAAGGACGCAGGTATCGATTCCGTGAGTACGGCCACGCTGACTCAAGCCGGCGTTGCCTAGTATATCGTTTCGAATGCTCGTCCAAGCAGCTGGCTGATGTGCGTTGCCTTGGTGGTGTCAGAAAGAGCATGGAGCTTTGACCGATGCCGCGAGGACTGCGTCGTACCTGCGTTGTCGCGAGCTCGGAACCACATGGTGCAGAGCACTTTCGAAAGGACACTGTCTCCGAGAACAGCCATGCGGTTGTTCTTGTCGACAGACTGAAAAGTGTTGGATACTATGGCCATAGCGCGAGGGGCAGCCATCTGGATAGCTTCAGCGCAGAGGAGCTTATCAGCGAAAACATGACCCATGATCTGCTCAGCGCGAGCAACTTTCTCTTCAGTGATGAGCATTTTGAAGGAATTGGGAGAAATGAGTACGTAATTGAGTGAGTAAATCGAGTGAGTAAATTGATGAAGGACTGCAGATATTAGAAGTGAGCAGTGCGCCCCGCCAGAATTTATACCCCTCTTCGTACTACTCGGGCCACGCACCACCTCACATTGACTGGGTGGTGCTACTAAGTCTAACGCCGTTACAGCCCCTTGCTGATTCATGAACAACTAGATCGCTGAAGTCAAGAACAGCCACCATTGAAACTCCGACAAATGCTGATGGTCTTCGTCATTCGTAACTATCACCTCTCTCATTCATCCTCATCCGCATAGGCTTCCCTGTCCTCAAAGACCAAAAATTCGCCGGCATCATCGCCCATGATCTTCCGCCATGCTTCCTGAACATGATCTAACACGGCGTCGTCGAAAGCGAGATCTAATGACGGCGGAGGGAACTGGACGCGATGTCCTCCATGAGCGGTGGGATCTACAACCGCTCCTGTGAGACCTTGTTGGATATATCTCGCAGACCAGAGAATGGTAGGTTGCGGCGTAACGTCGACAGCAGAGAGCAATGCCGTGACTGCCTGCTCGAGTAGCTGGAAGCCCGCATCACTGTCCAAAGCTATGCTTGCGTAGAGAACACCTGAGTGAGAAGTCAGTCAGATGTAAACCAGATACGATGGTTTGGAAAGGTGACATCAAGCCAAAATCAGGTTGTCAGAGATTTTATCGTCAATGTTGTTCAGACAATGTAGATAAGTATTCATAAGGTGTATCATCATGAGATGGCAGCGAGATAAGAGCGCGGGGGTACTTACTATGGCCTTTTGGACATTCTTCCGTGTCGCTCGAATGGATGAAAACATGTACTGGGGGTGACTGATTGTCTGGCCGGGTATCGCCTCCCGATAGAGACCCTGAAGGAAAGACGACGACTGCTGAAGCGGGAGAAGGTGCGTCTTCTGCAAGCGGTGGAAAAAGTGGGGTGAGCGGTGAGGAGATGATGGTGATGGATCGTGAGAGTCTGGAAGGAGTGGGAGTATTGTCTGAGCCCTCCTCCACCAGCCATTTGGTGGTGACAGATTTTCCACCTTTAAGGAGCACTGTCGTTCTCTCTGCTCCTTCGGTTTCTGGTGATTGAACACTAGACACTCCTTTGCCCAGGACGTAGACGCTACCTCCCACCGCAGAGGCGCGGCATGCAACCTGGGTGATCTCAGACATGCCGCCCCACTTTGGTATGACAGCGCCAAACCCAGCGCCAAACACGCCGATGGATCGGAGATGTCTCGCTATCCGGGGAAGTGCGAATTCGACCGTGACTTCTTCACTCACAGTAGGTGAGAGCGTGAGCGCGAGGAGCGGGGCCTGCAGGCCGACAGGAACCTTGAACTGCTCTGACAAGAAGGATGGAAACGATCTGCTTCGGTGTTCTTTCCATACGTCACCCTGCTCTTCGTATTCACTGATGAAGCGCAAGAACTTCATGAGGGCCCGCTTTGTCTTGAAGTCGAGAACTTGGTCCTGAAAGACATCTTCTCTACCACTAGGGACCTTGAGCAGTCTGCCGCGAGGTGCCGTTTCTTCATCGGAGGAGGCCGCGTCCGAGCTTAGAGAGCCTTGAGACGCTGGAGTGTACACCCACCAACTGCCGACGGCGAGGAACTCTAGTTGCCTAAACACTTTCGATGAGACGAGATACTGAAGAAGAGTTGACCGAGCATAGATCAGCTGTGGACTCAAGTCGAGGTTGTATTTCCTTGCGTGCGACAGCGAAGGCGCGGCAGGCGTAGAACCGGTATGGTCAGGCTTTGATATCGAAGCGTGAGTGAAGGCTGCAGCAGATGCATCTGTCAGAGCTCGAGTTAACGACGTCCGGCCCTAGCGACAACGGTAGCTCACCTCCATTCGCCTTCTGAGCCCATTCTTCAGCTTCAGTTAAGCTAAAGGCAGCCTCTGAGCCTCCATAGTAGTCGTTTTCGTCGACATGTAGGATTTTCTTCCCAGAGCGAGACAAGGCTCTTCAAGTGCTGCGTCAGTCAGATTGCGTAGTGCTTGCGGTGGTCTGGAGGGAAGACGTACAAAGCAAGTAAGGACTGTTGTAGACCAGTGCCCACCAGAAGCACGTCCCACTCGGTCTTGTCGAGAGTTTCCATTGTGGTGGGTTTGAGGAAGTGGGTAGAGAAGAGCCCCAGAAGAACTTTGGTACCCACTTCGGGAGATTTTCGGCTTGGAGTAGGTGACTAAGCGAGCTCTCATAGAAAATCTTCACGGTGCAACACGCACGGCTTTTTCCAAACATCGCGCTTGCTGAGGACATTTCATGATCTTGGTCATGTCCGGAATGCCCAGGGTCTTCACTGCATCCTGATGGTGCGCGAGAGAAGGAGCTCCGCCCTGTATCTACTGCTAAGGATTTCATGTGAACTAGCGGTTCGAAAGTGGCGGTACATATCAATGTGATGATCATAGAGGCCATTTCGACACTCTTTACGTGCTCTTCATCATTTTCTGACATACCATAATGTCACTCTCTGCTCACGACATAGGGCCATAATCTTGTGGGCGCCTGTGTGATAGTGTCTCTCTTGGTTGGGCTTACTACATTCCAAATTAAATTACCTTGAAAATTCTCAGGTGGGACAACCCTAAGCGGCCGAGTCATCATCCGAATCGTTATCGAAGCCTGCATCGCCCTTTGAGTCTTGACACTCCTCTTGAGCACGTTGACGGTCTGCAGGAGATGATTTTTATGCTATGTATATTGTCTAGCTATCAAGATTCGCCATCAATCACTCAAAAAGCCATCCACTGTTCATAGCAGTGAATCGTCTTCGATGGTCTAGTGGTCATGATTTCCGCTTGTCAAGCCCTATCCTAGGACTAACAAGCGCGGGAGACCGGGGTTCGATTCCCCGTCGGAGAGTCTACATTCTTTTTTGCCTTTTTTGCCTCTGGGTGTGTCACGACCCCAATTGTGCCGACGGACTTCTACCACCCAGGTGTCAATTGCTTCCTAGTCTACCACGATAATCAATCACGGCCAAAGGCTTAGGTGGCCTCTACTTTTCTTTTAGATTAACTTCAAAAGGTTACTTTTGCTCTGCCGACTACCACAGGGTTATCAGGCGGTATTCGCCCAGCTACTAGCATTCCCTACGGTCGATAGAGCTATATCTCTTAGCACCATTTTAAAGTGGTAGAAGAGGGCCCGCTTAAGCCTCTTTCTATGCCATTACTTGTTGCAATCCGGAAATCCCTCGACAGCCTTGTGTCATTGCGTTGAACGAAGACTAGCAAATTACCCAGTTGCAGTCACGTCTCAGACCTTGAAACCTCATAGATTCTACTTTTGTTAGACCATCTCGCTTCATTCATTACTCATATAGTAATCGTTGAGGTCGTAAATCGTTCTCTACCAATAGGTAGGAGGCTCGAACGGTATGGGGAAACTAACGTGTGATTGGGTGAAAAAGCTCGACCGGCGCTGCTGTACCATATGGTAGTATGCCTCAGTGTTTCACATTGGATTTTACGATCGATGGAACGGGTGCAGTCGTAGCCCTGGGAGACGCGGTTCTGGTGATGGATGACGTGCAGTGCCAAGCCTGTCGAACCGAGGATTCGCGATGTGAGCGAAGCATTCACCTACTGTCACCTGTGATATGCCGCGCAAGGCGAATTGTAACAGTAACCGGCGTATCGCCGTGTAGGCAATCGCTGAATTACACTTGCAGTCCCCTCTCACCCCAGCTTGTGCTATAATTGCTTCCTTAACCATCGCGCACCTAGGTAGCTTGCTCGACAGAGCATCCACTATGGCTACCGCCGGAGCTCTCCCAGACCAGCTGATACATCTCATTATACGCTTCACAGCCTCTGTCCCTGACCTCCAGCTCCCGCTGTCATCACCGAGAACAATCACGACGCTCTCCCTCAAACAGCTCATTCGATCACACCTCCCTACAGACCATGCTTCGGCGCGCCTCCGTCTCATCTACGCTGGCAAGGTTCTAGCAGATACAGCACCGCTCGCCGTTTCGCTGAAGCTTCCACCGCCCCCGCCGCCTCGCAATGGGACGTGGAACGAGCAAGGGCCGGGCAGCAAGAGCAAAGGAAAGCAACCCGTAAAGAGCGAGACGCAGGAGGACATCCAAAACTCACAGCCAGAGCCCAGGAAGTTCTACATCCACTGTTCTCTAGGCGATGCGCTTTCACCAAAGGAACTCGCAACGGAAGTTGCCCTAGCTCATGCCTCCGAAACCTCATTGCAGAAGCAGCACGAAACCCCTCAACACCATCAGACGCCGCGACGGCACAGCACAAGCGCGATAAGCAGCAGTAATGCATCTCGCCGACGTGGAAGCTCTACAACTGCGCCCGCCCCGCAAGGCTTCGACCGCCTCCTGACTTCGGGCTTCACGGCGCAGGAGGTCGCGATCCTGCGCTCCCAATTCCAAACCAACCTCTCCTATACCCACACACCCGACACTATGCCCTCCCCCACAGAAATGCGCGCCATGGAGGACCGATGGCTGGACTCGACTGCTACAGACCCTTCACCAGCGCTCGCAGGCGGCGGCGATACGGATACAGGCTGGGGTGCGGGGTTTAGCGTGGAAGAGGGTGGCTTGGATGATATGTTGTATGGGTATCTGACTGGCTTCTTTTGGCCGCTCGGAGCGTTGATATGGGGATTCAGAGAGGAAGGCGTGTGGCCGCGCCGGAGACAGGTGGCGGTAGTGATGGGTGTAGTTCTGAACTGTGCGTTTGGCTTCATGCGGTGGAGTTCTTGAAAACAGCAGAGCCCACTCATAGCAACAAAGCGTTCATTGCCTAAAGAGCACTGAGGTTCGCATTGATTCCATTCTTCATTGTGTGGTGCACTTCCGTGATGTAGCATTTCTGTGGTGTATCTCAACTTCGCAAAATCAGAAACCCCCCACCCCCAACTGCAAGGCCACTACCCTTCACCCACACCCACCAGGGAGTACCAATATCTTCCGCATAGACATAGGAACCGTCATAGCCAAGGCGTACGAGTTACGCTCGGGCCAGAGACGGCCCACAAAACCGACTATCCCAACACAGTCTCGCTTGTTTCAGACCCACACCAGCACAAAAGAAACCTCCACATACGACAACTGGTATTCGCTGGTTCTCACGAACCCAACTACTATCCAGTCGCTGCAACGTTTCTTTAGGAAAGATCGGACGGGGTTTCAAGCATTCGTTGCGCGATGGTCGTATGTGGTGGTTTCTGTCAATTATTCAAGTCATAAACAAGGACAACTCACCCCACCCGGCTCCAGGAACAGAAGGAGACGCTTCGGAGGGGTTTCCAGATGTTCAGGGCGAGAATCACGACGGTTGAGTGTCAGTGCTGTGCAGGAATTGACCCGCGTGCGCTAACCATGTTAGGAATGTCAAGTGTCAAGGTGGGACAGCTGTTTCAGTAACGTACTTGCATAGCGAGTCGGACAGGCAAGCGAGTCGGACACTCTGCCAAGACCCCACCAAAATGTACTATCACCTATAGTACAACGCGAT